GTACTAATGGTATAGTTTTATTTAGTTAGTTTATACCATTCCACTTTAAGGGTATTCCAAGATTCATGATTTTTTGATGGACTGAATGTACATTTACAGTTTTGATGGTTACACAGTTCTGCTATAGAAATTCTAATATAGCAGTCATATAGTGTCATTTAATAAGTAGTCTAATGAATATAAAAATTTGATAGAATTTCTACTTCATAAGTTATATATACCTATTCAGCTAGAGTAACTACTGCCTGAATTAGGTTTTTATTACTGCTGTAATAAATTACCATAAAATTAGTGGTTCAAGATAACATGCATTTTTCTCTTAGTGTTTATGAGGTCAAAAGTCTAAAATCAAGGTGTTGGTAAGACTTCATTCCTTCTGCAGGTTCCAGGGGAGAATTTTTTCCTTGCCTTTTTCAGCATCTAAAGGGTACCTGCATTCTATGGCTCATGGGATTTTGTTAATATCACACCAACTTCTTGGACCCATCATCACATATACTACCATCTCTGATCTCACTGTGTTCCTCTTATAAAGACTCTTGTGCTTACATCGGGCTTACCCAGATAATCTGAGATAATGTCCCCATCTGAAAGTCCTTAACTTGATCACGTTTGCAAAGTCCCATTTGCCATGTAAGACAACATATCAAAGGTTTTGAGGATTAGGGCATTATTCTGCCAACTACAATAATGAAGGAAATACAAGTAGGAATACAAGGTATTAGGTTGCAATGGTTTTGAAGGCTTTTTGAAAATAGGCAGTAGATGCACTGACCTGCTGTGGCCTGGACTTCCATGGTGTATTTTCAATGTACTTTGAGAGGCAGAGGCAGGTGGATCTCTTGAGACCAAGAGTTCAAGACTAGCCTGGCCAACATGGTGAAACCCCATCTCTACCAAAAATACAAAAAAATTAGCTGGGCCTGATGGAGCATGCCTGCAATCCTAGCTACTCTGGAGGCTAAGATGAGAGAATCGCTTGAACCTGGAAGGTGCAGGTTGCAGTGAGCCAAGATTGTGGGACTGCACTCCAGCCTGGTTGATGGAACCAAACTCTGTCTCAAAAAAAAAAAAAAAAAAAAAAAAGAAACAAAACAGTTTTTACCATGACTGAATTTGTATTCCATGAAATAAGAGATATAAATTAAGACCAAATAACATAGATAAAGACTGTAAGATTGACTAAGCCATTTTCAGAAATAATGTATTAGTAGATATAAATCCCCAAAGTGTAAAGATGTCTCTTAATTATTACATTAGTTCTCAGGTTCATGACTATTTACTCTAAAATTCCCTTTTGTGAATAGAAAGTTTATCACTATAATAAAATTATACTGCAAAGCAATTAATCAAAATACATAGCCTTGGGAAACTCTGAGGAGGGGGAAATTATTAGAAAGTAACATGAAGTGTATGTTTATTTTTAAAATGCAGATTTAATCTTTGTTAAAGTATTCTTTGCCCTATGGGTATGTTTAGCATACTCAAAAACCTAGCTTAGGTTCAGTAATTTTATATTGGCAACATGTGATTGCACTTTGTCTTCCAATTTGATTTGCTTTAGATATTTTTAGTGAATTGAACTGGAGATTAAAGATATCCAGATCTTAGTATATGTAGTCAGGAGGGCAAATGTAGGCCAGGTTGAAGGTATTTGCTATATTAAATCATACATATTTCATTTTTAATAACAAGTTACATAACCCATTTCACTATCATCCCTGTTGTGCCATGGTTAATTTGCACAAAAAAATTCTTTATATTTTTGGAAAATAAAAGAAGGTTGGGGTTATCCCTTTCATCAGTTATAGTCAGTGTTTTGTATTTGAGAATTATGTGTCTTAAGGAAGTCATTTGTACTCCATCATTCCAAGAAAAAAGGCATGCTTCTTTTGAGTTTCTGGCTTACTACCAGGAGGGATGCTTTCTGTTCTAATTCTGTAATAAAAAAAATGTTGAAATGAGCTTTCATGTAGTTATATATTAAAGTTTCTCACATTTTAGTACATTAATTACTACATTAAAGTGTGGTATTGATCTAACATTTTATATACTTATATTTAATGAATTCAATTAGTGAATTCAAGAAATATCTGTGAGTTTTTAAATAAAAGTTATGTTTCATTGTCTTTTTACAGGATTAATATAACACTCTATTTTAGCCTATTTAAGATCTATTTTAGTGTAGTTCACCAAACGTTAGTTAAGTGGAAAAAATACTTCACTTTGCAATTTATTTTGAATAAAAACTTTTTTTCCAATACTTCAATTAGAGGGGCTTGGGTAAAATGAACAAGGTTTAGAAAGACAGTAGCACCATTATTCATCAATTTCCAATTTTTATTCCATTCTGTAAACATAGAGGTCTACACTGGTTTTCACTTTCAGAATGGTTCAGTAAGTTCTTAGCAGGCCAACACTCTTGTAGATAACAATAGTATAAATAGTGGAAAAATATAAGAAATTACCTACAGGCTTTGGAATGTAATCAAAAGAAGACAGATTCTAGAAAAAGATAGAAACTTGAAGGGATCAGCATGTGGCATACTCTCCCCACCATCTTTCTATTTTTCATTTTCTTTTGCTGTGCCTGTGAACATACTGCAAGTATCCTTTGTTGCATGGCTACAACTTTGCTGACTCACAGTCTTTTTGAACTGAAGAGCAATAGAACAGAAATTAGGGCAACTACTTCCATCAGAATATAAGGTGAGAACCCTAGAAAAGAGAACAGGTGGGGAGAAAACCTTCTGTGTAGAAACGTTATACAAATATCTGGCGGACCCTAGTGCCATCTTTGCAGACTGAAAACAACACATCTAAAATAAATAAATAAGTGACTGAACAAAAACATGAGTTTCCATAGAAAGCATAAAATTTTCAGTTTACATACAACCAAGTTAATTGCCTGTTAAAACAAAAATATCAGCCCTCCTGGGAGAGAAATAGAGTATAATCTGAAGTTTCCACAACATAACATTCAGGATACAAGCAAATATTACTTAGCATGTGAAGAGCCAGGGAAATGTAACCCATTATTAAGAAAAAAAAGAATAATGAACATCAATCTTTATATTTTAGTGTTATCAGAAAAAAGAATTCAAAACAACTGTATGATTATACTCAATAAGACAAAGAAAAATGAGCTTGTAATCATTGAGAAGACAGGAAACATTAACAAAGAAACAAAACTTGAAAACAAAGTGTATGAAAATTCTGAAACTGAAAGTTATAATAAACCTTAAGTATAAACAATACTGGATAGGCTTAATAGCAGAATAGATATGTCAGAAGAAAGAATCAGCAAACTTGACAATAGTTCAATAAAAACAAAGGATAGAAGATTGAAAATAAATGGAGCTGGGCGCGGTGGCTCACGCCTGTAATCCCAGCACTTTGGGAGGTCGAGGCGGGTGGATCACGAGGTCAAGAGATAGAGACCATCCTGGTAAACATGGTGAAACCCCGTCTCTACTAAAAATACAAAAAATTAGCTGGGCATGGTGGTGCGTGCCTGTAATCCCAGCTACTCAGGAGGCTGAGGCAGGAGAATTGCCTGAACCCAGGAGGCGGAGGTTGCGGTGAGCCGAGATCGCGCCATTGCACTCCAGCCTGGGTAACAAGAGTGAAACTCTGTCTCAAAAAAAAAAAAAAAAAAAGAAAGAAAATAAATGGAGCAGCAGCAAGCTATAGAACAACATCAAAAATTCCAATATGTGTTTAATTTCAGCTTCATAGAAAGAGAAGACAGAAAGAAAATGGATCAAAAAAGAAATGTTGACCCCAAATTTTCACAATGTTATAAAAATCCCCAATCTATATATTTAGGAAGCTTAGAAAACATCAAGAAGTATAGCTATGAAGGACACCATGCTAAGGTATATTTTACTAAAAATACTGGAAAGCAAAGACAAATAAAAAGTCTTGCACTTATCCAAGGAAAGATTACATTACATACTGGAGAAGCACTATTTAACAAGAACTGATTTCTCATGAATAAGAATAGAGGCCAGAAAATGGTGAGGAAATATCTTTAACATACTGAAAGAAAGAAACTGTAATCTCACAATTTTTTATCTGGCAGAAAAAAATCCTTTAAGAATGAAAATAAATAAAAGCATTTTCAGGTAAACGAAAATAAGAATTTGCGGCCAGGAGTTCTGCAATACGAAAATAAACACTGTCCTTCAGGTTGCAGGAAAATGACATTACTGTAGTGGGAAACTTGGATATTTATGAAGGAGTAAGCAGTGTCAGATCTGAGAAAGAACTAGTAAGTAAAAATATATTTTCCTCTGGATTTAATTGTAAGATCTATGTTGAATGAAGCAAATGAATATAATATTTTCATTGATATTATTTACATCATATCATAATCATAAAGGAGAGTTTGGATTGGGGTGGGGATGGCAAATGGATCTTTATAGTGTCAAGTTCACCATATTCTAAGAAGTTTGAGAAAAGTTAAGAATATATGTAGTAATTTCTGGATTAAAACTAATTTAAATAGAGACAGTTAAAAACCCAATAAGTAAAGTTCACATTAAAAGCTATTTAAATCATTTGAAAAATGAAAGGAGAAACTAATTTTCTTAAAAAATGAGAGAACAGAAACTGGAAGATCTAAATCTAACAATTTCTGCAATTACATTAGTGTTATTAGAGTCAGCATTCAAATTAGACAGAATTTTTCAAAGTAGATAAAAGGAAAACATACATATATTTCAGCTTTGCTTGAAATTGTATAAAATTCTGGCAAATTCTGTACCAAAAAAATGTGAGCAGACTTAATATAGATAACTCTGACCTGAGGCAGTAAGGTCAGTTATCCAGGTTTTTGCCTCTCTTGCCAAGGACATTGTGGAGAATACCCAAGAAGGAAATGCTGAAGTCACTCAGCGCTGACTGTTAAGTCTCTGCATGCAAGAATTGCCCTTAAGAATTGCACAACTCCAGAGTAGAGTTTACACAAGAGCAATAGTTGTGACACTTACACAAAGGGATATACCTCCGGGATTGTGCGGTTGGCTTTGCAGGCCCAGAAGTCTGGCTCAGGAAAGGACACTCAGGCTGCCGAAGACCTGCTGCTGCTCAGTAAGCCTCTGACGGACCTCATCAGCCTGCTCGTTCCACTGCTTCCTAATGAAGATCCTGAGATTTTTGATGTTTCATCCAAGTGTCTGTCTATACTGGTTTGGCTCTGTGGAGGGGAAAACCCAGGCAGCCTCTCTCCTGAAAATGTGGAAATTTTTGCTCATTTACGGACATCCAAGGAGGACCCAAAGGAGCAGAAGCTTCTGTTAAGGACTCTCAGGAGAATGGTCACCTCCAATGAGAAGCACTTGGAGAGCCTCAAGAACGCGGACAGCCTCCTGCAGGCACTGGAGCGGATGGCCCCCAGGCGTGGTTCACTTCCCGACAGCATGGAGGCTCCCTTGGCCCTGGAAATCCTCCAAGCTGTTGGACGCTAGGCGAGAGAGCACCGAGCAGGAGCCCACCCAGCAGGAGCTCCCCCAGCAGGAGCCCCCCTCCTGTGGCCCCAGCCCTCGGATGCACAAGTGAGGTCGGCTCCCAGACACTTTTGCCGCATCCCTCCACAGCTGTATTTGAACCTAATAAAAGTCAGCTGAACCCCCCCCAAAGAAAAAATCATTTGCTTTGTTTAGTGTAGCTCGTTAGCATGGGGTAGCATAGTCTAGATTACTCTAATCAAAAGAAACCCAAGTAATCCTGACACTTAGAAATTAACAACATTGTTTATGTAATATATGAGCGTTTATTATGAGTTTGTCAATTAAGATGCATTATGGGACTACTAGTACAGGATATATGTATGACTTGGATAAGAGTAAAATCTCAGGAACATATGACATCTAACTAATATTAAAATATCCTTACTACAAAATATTTAAAGGCTTGTCATGTTACAAAAGAAAAGAGACAACAATAACTTAAAAATTAGCAAGTTAAGCCCATATATACATATATATAATTTTTAATACACCTTACTGGATTAAACTCATGTATCTATGAATATTTGTGATCTTAATTTTTATAGTTTTAAACTGGATGTATCTTTTTGAAAGACCATTTTCATAACGACGAATTCTTAAAGGGGTGATTATCCACTGAAAGGAAGGAATACTGTTGGTAAAGCATGAAGTATGAGCATGCTTGAAGCATGAGCATTGATGCTGTAAGAATGAAATAGCAACATTAAAATGGATTACATATAACAGAAATAAAGATAGATGTGAGCTAAATATTATATTAGAGTCAAATCGTACACTTTTCAGAGAATAATAAAAGTGAAAAGAAAAATGACATAATATAGTATTTTTTATTATAAAGTTACAGAGGTGTGTTGTAGTAAAATTAAAGAAATGGAAACCCTAAATTTGTAGTAATTTGTCTACACTACAAATTCAAATAATATATCTGAACTAAGTGATTATGAAGTAATTGAGGTTAAAATGTTTAAATAGATGATATAGAAATGGAAGAAAAAATGCAATATGTGTTTTTTCCTTAATATTTCTTGATTTTTATTCATTTCTTAAACAAAATAATGTATGTAAACTAAATAACTACTTAAAGTTAATTAATGCATTCTAAAATCCTTAAAATTTTTAATTCCTAAAGCAGTTGAGACTGTTTATAAGTACAGTTCTAAAAGTGCAATAATCAAGTATATTTGGTTTATGCAAAAACTACCTATACCTTGAACAAAATAATACAACAGGAGATGATACTCTCCTTTCTCCTATTCATCAGTCCTTCTCAAAGATTCTCTTATTCTGTGCTATCTAATTGTTATGCTGGAGACTATATTTTTTGTTTCTTCCCTCAAATTTTTACCGTATTTACCGTCTTTAGTGTATTAGATCATTATCCTCAACAGTCTTGTGGTTCTGCTAGCCAAAAAAAATTGCAGACAGCAGGAAACTTGTAGGATTGTGCATATTTGAGGAGTCTAACCAGGTAAATGTTACTTAGCAGAATCAAACACTAACCAGTTTTAAAAGTAACTAATCCCCAGTGTATTTCCGATTAATTCACCATTCCTGTGTGTCTGACCGGGTAAAAAGGTGAAGGATTTGATGTTCAAAATGTGCTAGTCTAGCATTTTAAAATCATTCCTCTTGGTTTTTAACGCTTCACGGTATTCTTGTTCTCACTAATTCAATTTTTCCTGCTTGATAAAATGTTTGAAGTTGCCAATTGTCCATGTCATTACGCTGTTTGGTATGCACAGTGAATGGTGACCTTAATCATTGCCTTTCTTTGTGTATTTTCAGTAAAACGGCTCATGAGCCTCAAGATGCCTTAACAACATTGATATCTCCTTCTAAAATGTATCTGACATTGTCATTAGTCATTGAGAGAAGCCTGAGCTGTTAACCTACTTTGTCTTTTCACTGGACATCAAGTACCGAAGCTTACGAGGCAAAATTTTTTTCCCTCTCAATCAGATGCCTGACTACTATGTTAAGGAACCTTGAATTTTGCAATGCAAATATAATTTTGGAATAGCTAGCCACAGACTTTGGTTTTTTTTTCATTGTTCTACTCTGTTGAGTCACTACAACTTGAAAAAAAATTCTTACATTTTCTTAGAATTTTTATTACTTGTCCTTCATGAGAATATGTAGCATTCAAAATGCTCAGAGATGAAGGGAACTGAAAAATGGCAGGTGTCACCAGAGTGTCTTTTCACTTAGTGTTGTTCCTGGCCAAACCAAAATATGATTTGTTTCCTGTACTGTCAGCTCATCACATTTCAGTGTCAGAAAGGCTGCAAAATGAGGTCAGACATGCTTCCTGTTTCTGAACTCAATTTTGAGGGAGCTGATGAATATGTGATAATGTAACACACAAACCTCAAAACTTATGTCCACAAATCTTAGCAGTTTCGTAAAGAATATTTGTTTAGTGGGCTTACAGCATCTGACAGCTAAGGATTGCTCTACTGGTCCCAGTGGCAACTCTCTCTGGTGTGTTGTGGTTTACTAACATGGAAATATAGGGTCACAATCCTTAAACACAGGAGGAGTGTATTTAAATGCCATTTTGTACTCTCGTATAGTTTGGGATGTCACATATACTCTACTGCATAATTGACCCACACTGCTGTGTATGTTCTGCTGAGGAAAATAAAGCAATGCAAATGAAATTGAAGTATACCAGTTTCAGAGATGAGATATGACTCTAAACATATTGCTGTTTCTCACACACATAAAAAGGAAATTATTTTTGCTTAATTTTCATAATGACTGTAGTCTGTGTTTGATCTAATTAAATACTTATGAAATGATTACAGTACTTCAACAGCCTAATTCAGTGAAATAAGTTGATATGAGTTATTGGCTATCACATAAACTTATATAAATGTAATATATGACTATTTTAACTGTTATATTATTTGCATTGGCAGTATATAATTATAGTCATAAGAATGTATCAGATAGTTGAAGAAAGTTTGAATAGAACATATAAATTAATGCAGTCCAATTAAGCAGTTATAGTATTTAACATCTTGTAAATTATACATATTTACTTTATATTTAAGTACATTATACATATATCTGTGTTTATATGTATATAATCAAGTCACCATGTTTTCTTATATTCAACATTAAGCACTGTTCTGATGGCAAAAACCATTTTTGGTACAGTTTAATGTTCTTACATTCTAAATAATCAATTAGAGATAGGTATTTTATACTATTTTGCCACTCCATCTACACATTTCAGTTAGAATAATCATTAAGCACTAGCATATAAAAAAGACAGTGTTAATGCATATACTGGAACATAAATTGGGGATCACATATTTTTGATTATTATTTTTTAATGCCAGTTAGAAATATTTTTCCTATTAAGACAATCAAATTTCCTCAAAAATTACAAACTTTGATTTCTTGTTTTGTTTTGTTTTGTTTTGTTTTTGAGACGGAGTTTCGCTCTTGTTACCCAGGCTGGAGTGCAATGGCGCGATCTCCGCTCACGGCAACCTCCGCCTCCCGGGTTCAGGCAATTCTCCTGCCCCAGCCTCCTGAGTCGCTGGGATTACAGGCATGCGCCACCATGCCCAGCTAATTTTTTTTTTTTTTGTATTTTTAGTAGAGACGGGGTTTCACCATGTTGACCAGGATGGTCTCGATCTCTTAACCTCGTGATCCACCCGCCTCGGCCTCCCAAAGTGCTGGGATTACAGAAACTTTGATTTCTTACAGGCTATTGTTGGAAGATCTAATCCATTGGAATGTCACCCAATATGTGTAGGTACTTAACATGTTCTAATTTCACTTAATAGTTGGAATTATTAAAGGAAAATCTAAACATTTAATTACATTATGCTCCCTGCATTTATGCAAATATTTATATACCCTCTCTTAAAATTTCTATAACTCTATGCATAGAATGCATTTATTCTGTGGTAGAATTGTTGTCAATTAGTCTATGAGCATGTTAGTTACTGATTATATTAAGACACTGGAAGGAAACAGGTGAAGAGAGTATAAATAGAGGGTCCTTTAACCTACATGAAATTACACATGACATTGGGAAGGGTACATATCTCCTAGAACAATAGAAATAATCAGCATCTCTCAATGGAGTTGTGCAATAGCAATAAATGCAATCATTTACTTTACTGAAAACACTTGTATGAAACTAATATTCATCATGTAAGTATTTTTAGATCAGAGTGATCAAATCAATGAACTAATTTATTTTGTTAAAAGTCTCTGGCTTACTGTGTGGTTGTAGAAGGATGGAAACCATTCAAATGAAAATGTTCAGAGAGTGAAGAAGTCTAATATGTCATAAATATAATAACACAGGAAAAGTTAATTACGGCAGGTGCAGTGGCTCACACCTATGATCTCAGTTCTTTGGGAGGCAGAGGCAGAAGGACTAATTGAGGCCAGGAGCTTCAGACCAGCCTGGGCAAGAGAGCAAGACACCACCTCTACAAAAAAATTAAAAATTAGCTGGGAGTGGTGGCACTTGTCTGTAGTCCCGGCTACCTGGGAGTTCGAGGTGACAGGATCATTTGAGCCCAGGAATTTGAGACTGCAGTGAGCTATGATTGTGCCACTGCACTTCAACCTGGGTGACAGAGTGAGACTTTATCTCTAAAAATTAAACAAAAGAAAGAAAGAGAAAGACAGTCCGGGGAAGGAAGGAAGGCTATTAAGACTAGCCTGTTGCTGTCTGAATTATTGATAAATCTGATGATACCACATTAAGCTTTTCAGAAATTCCCGTATTTATAGACATTGGCCATACATTGTTCATACTTCCAAGTTTAACATTGAAATTAATTTTAAAAATAAGCAAAATCACATTTTACATTTATGAGGCAAAAATCTGATTGAAACGTAAAGCTTTAATTTAAAAATTTCAAGCAGCTTTTATTTTCTTCTTGCACTTTATAGTTTCTTACTCTGAAATTCTTTTTTGTTTGTTTGTTTGTTTGTTTTTTGGACTTATTAGCAGAAACCAAGGTTGAGTTGCTTAAGGAAAAAAATGAATGCAAAAGAAAAATATTTGTATGTCTTTGGGAGTTAAAGTGGAATTAATCAAGGTTTCTGAAAAAAGGAACCAGAGTTTATTAAAAGATTTTAGCA